CATGAATTATTCCGTTAATTAGACCCCACACCCTGTACAGGTCAATAGGCCGAACTAACAAACACAAACTGTAAACAAGTAGGTGTGTTAGGCTACGTTCAGACTGCAGGGCTTAACGGTCAATTCAGATTTTTTTGTGAAATCCGATGTTTTTTCGAGGTCGTTCACATTTCCAGTTAATTAAATGTGACTTGTATGTGACTCCAGTGTGAACATTAAACGGGCCCAAAAGTGTCCCCGCATGTGACACTGGAGACACGACGACGTCAACCGCAGCGAGCGTCTCTGTGTTTACACAAGTTGTCCAAACATGGACGCAGCATCGAGCACCTGGAGATTTTAAAGTTCCTCTCGTACCGGAGCCAGAACATGAACAACTTACTTGTTTTGAGGAGGAGATTGAGAAGGAGAAGGACGAGGTTTTTGGTCGTGGTGTTTTGTGGTTCAGTCCGTTGAAAGGAACGTGTGGATGTGGAGACGGAGCCAAGAGTGGAGATGTGCTTCACTTCAGTCACACGAGTTCATTAACAATTTTGGTCTGACGAGAAGAACGTTTGTGAACATTTGTGGTTTGTTGATAACGTGTAGGTGGTTGAATGCGCCTTGACCGTTCAGACTGAAGTCACATGTCAAAAGATCAGATATGTATCAGTTTCAGGAGCACATATCCAAGTGTCCTGGGTCAGATTTGAAAAAATCGGATCTGTGTCATTCAGACTGTCATTAAAAAATCAGATACAGGAACATAGAAGCCAAAAAATCAGATTTGGGTCACTTCAGGCTGCAGTCTGAACGTAGTCTTAGTTTCAGTGTAGTTCGCTCCTCCCTGCAGACAGATATAAGGAAGTGTCCACCGGCGTCTGACCAGAACTGAAGAAGCAGCTTGGATGAGCCGCGAAACGTCTTCAACCAAACTAACTTTTGTCCAGTCGACGAACTGAATTTTCTCCTCGCCGTGGATTCTACCTGGACGACTGAGGGATTCTTCTCACACTCACACAAAGACACAGAGAGAGAAATCTTTCCACAAAATTCCACGAGTCTATGTGCTGTTATACGTGTTCTGATACAGCTCACGACATTCAGGAAAGCTTCATTTGGGACTTTTTTAGTATCGGTTCCCGCGAAAATTGAGGTCGAGTTTCGATACTGGTTTTAGTGTCAATTAGTATCTGGATTTTAGTGCCTTTTGGAAAAGAAATATCTCGCTCATAGACACAAAAACATCCCTTGCTATAACTGGATTTGCACCAACATCCTCTTTATAAGACTATTTCTTTTTTAAGAGGTAATCTTTTAGACCAGACTTTGCTCAAACCTTTATGCGGCGTTTTAAAAAATGTAGCACATAATAAAGAATGACTAACGAGTTTTCCCGCAGGCCGTTTGAATATATCACTGATCAGTCCTCATTTACGGAAACTAATATTAAACTTTCAAATGTGAAGTTGGCCCGAAGCGAAACACTGGTGAGTCACGGAATGGGCAGGTCTGCTCATATTTTACTCCAGACTTCGAATGTGAAATCATTACAGCTTCTATTAATAATGAAAGATCGAAGTGATGTTTGTCAAATAAAACGACATCGCCTGATTTTCTAGAAACCAACAGCAGCAGCAGCGGCAGAAACATAAAAAATGAGGAGTAGAACAAGAAGTGCGACATAAATCCAGGTTGTTTTTTGGTGAAGAGTTGTGGTGGGAGTTTCCTGAAGGTTTCAAACAGTAAAGTCACATCTATAATTTAAAACGCACTGTGGAACTTTTCTGTGTTGGTCTCCGTGGAGATGTTCTGGATTTAAACACGAGTATCAATGGAAATTTTATCCATATTTCGATGAATACTTGTACTTCTAGTAGTGATAGTAATAGTGGCAGTGATAAAATTTGCAGTAGTAGTAGTAGGAGTAGGAGAAGTAGGAGTCGGAGTAGGAATAGTAGCAGTAGCAGTAGCAGTAGCAGTAGTAGCAGTAGCAGTAGCAGTAGCAGTAGTAGTAGCAGTAGTAGTAGCAGCAGTAGCAGTAGTAGCAGTAGTAGCAGCAGTAGTAGCAGTAGTAGTAGTAGCAGTAGTAGTAGCAGTAGTACTAGCAGTAGTAGTAGTACTAGCAGTAGTACTAGTAGTAGTAGTAGCAGTAGCAGTAGTAGTAGCAGTAGCAGCAGTAGTAGTAGTAGTAGTAGAGCAGTAGCAGTAGTAGTAGCAGTAGTAGTAGTAGCAGTAGTACTAGCAGTAGTAGTAGTAGTAGCAGTAGTACTAGCAGTAGTAGTAGTAGTAACTTAACAGATTTTTATAAATACTAACCCTCAATTTACACTAAAGCAAACCCAATACTTGACCAAGGATCAAACCAGGTTTAAATCGGATTTGAACCCAGACTAAACCAGGATTAAACCAGGGACTAAAACAGGAACCAAACCAGGACTAAACCCCAGACTAGACCCAGGACTGAACCGGGACTAAACCCAAGACAGTATTTCATCATATCTTGTGTTATTCCATCTTTGAACTGTTGATGAAGGTACAGGATTTTTAAAAAAAAAACAACATTTATTTAAAATGATCAAAATGTTCTTGGAAGGACTGACATATTTTATAGAAATAGTTTCCTTTCATTTTGAAGTAATATTAAAGTATTCAGAAGAAAAAAGCGACAAATGATGTAAAATTCTGCACCTTCTACTTGTTTGTACAATTTTCCCTCCGTTACTTTTCCCTCTGTTACCATGAACTTTCTTAATAAAAAATCTCATGAGTCAAAAAGTAAGAGGTTTTTCATCCTAATCTTGTACCATATGGTAGAAAACTATATGAAGCAAATATTCAAACCAGTTTGTTAAGGATATGTAAGTGAGAACCAAGAGTTATCACTGTTTGGATTTATTGTCCAAAAAGTGCTGCATATTTCATTCCCTCCGTTACCGACATGAGTTTTAAAATTTTTTGTCAACAAACTTGAAAGAATATCACAGGTTTAACTTGACCCTGTTGGAGTGTAACTCTTTTCTACATTCTGATACTTTACTTATTTCAATAGTCCCTCTAGTTTCTGAATAAGAGACATTTGAATGTAAAAAAAATCTGCCTGTTTCCCTCCGTTACCACTGGACCGGACACAGGAGCAGCTCTGTGTCTCTGGTGTAAATTGAAGCTTTTAAAAGTTTGCAGCTCTGCCGACATATCGCTGAAGCTCCTGGTGTAAATTCCCGGAAACTAACTGGGTAATAACTAGTCGCTGGTTGGTTTGTTTGTTTGTTTGTCAGCAGCTCCTACAGCAGCAGCAGCAGCAGCAGCGTCATTAAACTGATGAGTAGCAGAGGTCCGGCGTAACTCATGTATTTCCCCTGACACTTTGGGAAAAAAACAGTGCCGCTTTTGTCCTCTGGTTTTCTATTATTTAACAGATGAACAAATGAAGCCGAGCAGAGCCTGAGGTGAGAGACTGTCCCACTTTTTCACCTCCTACAGCTCGGCGTCTGACACACACTTTTAAACTCGTCTCAGCCGCCTTTTCCGGTTTTGGACAATTACACCAAAATACTGCGAATGTGCGTCAGGTTTTTGAAGAAGTTTCTGTTCCCTTGTGATTTCTCTCTTTCTCGTTTCTTTTTTTTTTTCCTGGTGAGCAGCTGTTTGTTTTGATCCGCCTTCGTTCAGCTGCAGGTGTTTAAATAAAATAACAGATGGAGAGAACCTGCCGCTGTCGTCGTGTCCCAAACAGGAAGTGAGCGCGGTTCCTTCGAGCTCTGGTTGCGATTCGCTTCACGTTGAAAAGTCTTCGCCGATTTCTCTGCGTCCGCTGCAGTGAGCCTCGGCATTCTGGTCTTAAAATGTTTGTTTATTTGGCTGTTCTGTCTCTAAATTAAAGCTGCACTGTGGAACTTTTTGCTTGGAGATGTCTGGAATGTTCCACAGTGTGACTTTAAACGGCTCTACTTTACATTTATTCAATTACAAGTTTTTTTGTTTTTTTTTAGCTCAAAAATACCTAGAAAAACAAACACAAAGGCGTTTTTACTTTGAGCGGGGTCGCCTCTCCACAGATCTAACCTGTAACTTGGCCTGAGACCTGGTTTGGTCTCCATGAAGATAGAAAGGTTTAATGCTACACTGTGGAGCATTTCAGACAAAACAGCAACATCTCCATGGAGAAAAGTGTTTTTACTGTGCTCTGAATTTCAATTATGGTACCTGGTTGCAGTAGTATTTGCAAGTAGTTCTTGCAGTATTGAGAGTAGTATCAGTAGTAGTAGTTGCAGTAGTATTTTGCAGTAGTGTGAGTAGTAATATTTGCAGTAGCGTGAGTAGTAGTTGCAGTAGTACTTGCAGTAGTACTTGCAGTAGTGTCAGTACTAGTACTTGCAGTAGTGTCAGTACTAGTAGTACTTGCAGTATTGTGAGTAGTACTTGCAGTAGTAGTATTTGTAGAAGTAGTACTTGCAGTATTGTGAGTAGCACTCGCAGTAGTACTCGCAGTAGTAGTCCTTGCAGTATTGTGAGTAGTACTTGCAGTAGTACTTGCAGTAGTACTTGCAGTAGTACTAGTACTTGCAGTAGTGTGAGTAGTACATGCAGTAGTAGTATTGCAATAGTAGTATTTGTAGTAGTAGTACTTGCAGTAGTAGTAGTATTGCAGTAGTGTGAGTACTGACCTGTGGGCTCTTGGCTCTGGCTCAGTATTTGTAGTAGTAGTATTCACAGTAGTAGTAGTAGTAGTAGTAGTATTGCAGTAGTGTGAGTACTGACCTGCGGGCTCTTGGCTCTGGTTCAGTATTTGTAGTAGTAGTACTTGCAGTAGTAGTAGTAGTATTGCAGTAGTGTGAGTACTGACCTGCGGGCTCTTGGCTCTGGTTCAGTATTTGTAGTAGTAGTATTCACAGTAGTAGTAGTAGTAGTATTGCAGTAGTGTGTGAGTACTGACCTGCGGGCTCTTGGCTCTGGTTCAGTATTTGTAGTAGTAGTACTTGCAGTAGTAGTAGTAGTATTGCAGTAGTGTGAGTACTGACCTGCGGGCTCTTGGCTCTGGTTCAGTTCAAACTGGATTCCCTTGTACAGTTCTCTGGAGATGAGTCCGTAGGCGACCATCATGACCACACCAGGAACGAAGAAGAGCACGAACAACAGGATCATGTACCTGAAACACAAACAAACAAACACACACACAAACAAAAACACAAAGCATCATGGGAAACGGAGTCTTAGTCTCAGAAAACAAAATGTTGATCGTCATTTTATTTATTTAGATGATCAGGATTTATACAGACAGATTAAACTCATGATGCATGTACTAAACAAGTACTAAACCAGGACTAAACCAGGACTAAACCAGGATTAAACCAGGACTAAACCAGGATTAAACCAGGACTAAACCAGGACTAAACCAGGATTAAACCAGGACTAAACCAGGACTAAACCAGGATTAAACCAGGATAAACCAGGATAAACCAGGACTAAACCAGGACTAAACCAGGACTAAACCAGGACTAAACCAGGACTAAACCAGGACTAAACCAGGACTAAACCAGGACTAAACCAGGACTAAACCAGGATTAAACCAGGACTAAACAAACCAGGACCAGGACTAAACCAGGACTAAACCAGACTAAACAGACTAAACCAGACTAAACCAGGACTAAAACCAGGACTAAACCAGGATTAAACCAGGACTAAACCAGGACTAAACCAGGACTAAAACCAGGACTAAACCAGACTAAACCAGGACTAAACCAGGACTAAACCAGGACTAAACCAGGACTAAACCAGGACTAAACCAGAGACTAAACCAGGACTAAACCAGGACTAAACCAGGATTAAACCAGGACTAAACCAGGACTAAACCAGGACTAAACCAGGACTAAACCAGGACTAAACCACCAGACTAAACCAGGACTAAACCAGGACTAAACCAAGACTAAACCAGACTAAACCAGGACTAAACCAGGACTAAACCAAGACTAAACCAGGACTAAACCAGGACTAAACCAGAGACTAAACCAGAGACTAAACCAGGACTAAACCGGGACTGAACCAGAACTAAACCCAGGACCAAACCCAATACTAGACCCAGGACAAAAACCAGGACTGAACCAGGATTCTAACGAGGACTAGAGCGTGTTTTGTTTTGTGTACAATTGTCACGTTACTTTGCGCGTGTTTAAATATTTAGTGAGTAGATTTTCTGAGTTGTTTTGTTTTTCTCACAGGACCAGATCCTCGTGACGCAGGATTCTGTAAGAACTCTGTCCGGGTTAAACTGTTTAAACTGTCAAAATGTCAACAGCACCCGGACGCAGAGTCCTGATGATGGACACGCAACGAAACGAGAAAAAAAAACAAAAAACTACATGATAATACACACAACTGAGTCTAGAGAGATTTATGTCATGTTATAATGGTATGACCTCGTCCTGTTGTTAGAGTTGGTTTAATGTAAATCATTTTTTTATGTGTTTTGAACCTGCCCAAGGTTTTCTGCAGATGGAAAAAAGCCTGGAGCTAAATCTGGCACAGAGCAACTTTTCTCTCTGCGATTAATGTTTTCTGTGCACTGTCCTTGTTATTAATAATTTACAAAAGTTGGAGTTGTGTTTTGTTTCATTCACACATGTTGAGTAACTCTTTATTCTCTTTGTTCTATAATCTCCAAAGCTCAAAACGCTTTGGTCCCGTGAACAGCTCCTTTTCCCTTTTGTTTTGTGGTAGACACAGGTGGAGCTGAGGAAAAATATATCAATAATATAGTCCTGGGAGTCTGACAGTTCTGTGCAGTATCTTTGCTGTTCCAGTCCTGCACTTTTCTGGACTGAGATGTTCTGTTGTTTTTCCTGGTATCTGCTGTAGTTTCTTCCAGTTTGGGGGTTACAGCCCCGAGTGTCCGATCACCACAGGCTCCACTGATGTCTTCACTTTCCAGGCTTTCTCCAGCTCCTCCTTGAGTCTCTGGTATTTCTCTAGTTTCTCGTGTTTCTTTTTCCTGATATCACCATCACTTGGTGTTGTGATGTTCCACCACGGCTCTGCTCTGTTTCTTCTCCACCAACACTATGTCTGGTTGGTCCATCACCATCCTGTCAGTCTGTATCTGAAGTCCCCCAAAGGTTGTGGGGATGTGATGAACCAACCAGACATTGAGTGCGTATACATGCACATCAATAACCCGGTTATTAGCCATACCCCGGTTCTGTCAGTGTTCATGTTACTGCGTTTACATGCGCACTGAGAAACCGGGACACTCATATCCACGTGTACATGATCAAATGGAGTATCCCGGTTTCTTGACATAATCTTACAAATGCGCAGGCGCAAAAATTAACTTAAATCAATTTCATAAACCAGGAAAAATACAAACCGTGAGCTCCTTTAGCATAAGAAGCTAAGGAGCTACGAGATCTCCCACAATCCACTGTGCAGATTCTTCATTAAAATCTTCTGCATAAATAAACTCAACTTTACAACATATAAACCATAAACACTATAGACACATCAGCCCGTTTGATCAGATCATTCAGCTCTGATCACATTTGTTTACGTTTTACAGAAACGAAACTTAAGACCGTTTGGCTAATTAGCATAAACTGTTAGCGGCGATAAAAACAACTCGCTCCTTGTGTCACTGATGCGATCAGTTTTTTTTGGACTAAATGACACGACTCTGTGGATTATGTGTGTTATTTCTGTGACAGAAGAGGCGCTAATGATGGTAAGTGTGTTCTGTGCATATAGAGTATAGGAGATAGTTCATGTTTTAGCTTTTCAGCGTCACACGAGTGCAGGTCGTACGAGTGCAGATTGTACGTGTGCAGGTTTAGCGCAGCTCTTTATTTTACAGTCATTTCACTCGTTTGGTCACTTTATTTATGTTGGTCAATTTATTTATGTCACTACTGTTGTGGTTAAAGGCTGGAAAGTGTCTTTTTGACGCATGCGCACTCAACTTTATGTTGCAGTAACCGGGATACTGCGTTTACATGCCACAAGTATCCCGGTTACTATCAGAATAAACCAGCTACAGTAACCCGGTTTCTAATAACCGGGTTACTGAAACCGGGTTACTGCGTTTACATGCACCATCAAGAAACCGGGATACTCAAAAAACCCGATCATAACCGGGTTATTGATGTGCATGTAAACACACTCATAGTGGTGATCGGACACTCGGGGCTGTAACCCCCAAACTGGAAGAAACTACAGCAGATACCAGGAAAAACAACAGAACATCTCAGTCCAGAAAAGTGCAGGACTGGAACAGCAAAGATACTGCACAGAACTGTCAGACTCCCAGGTCCTCTGTTAGACGACCCGAGCTGAATGAGGTTGAGAGACCAACCACCGTGGAAGGTGACGATCACTTTTTTTTTTAAATATATGAAACTATGTCATGTCATTCTTCTTCTCGCTCCTTTTGGAGAAATGTGTTTTTCTGTTGTTTACACTGTGTATGTGTAGTAACATGATTATTGTTTCTCTCTTGGCACAAACTCAAAATAAAAAACAATCAATCAATCAAACTTTGCACAAGAAGTGGTTTAACAAAGACTTTTAGCATCACAGACATGATTTAACCTTTATTTTTTACTGAATCGTTTTGAATCAGTTTGAAATATATCGTATCAAATTAAAAGTGAACAGTATCGAGGTGTGTATCGTATCAGCAGCTTCTTAATGATCCTCAGCTCTAGACACAGAGCTGAAATGATCCAAATGATTCTAGTGAAGGTGAGTGAAGTTTAAAAACACAGTGGAGCACTTCCTGTATCGCCACATGACATCACAAGGTGGAACAGAGTGTTTTCAGTGTTTTGAGAGAAGAACTCAGTCTAAATGTGCAGGGTTTGTGTGTTAAACATGTGTGAATGAAACAAAAAACAACTCCAGGTCTGTTACGACATCAGAACATGGATCAGAACATGGATCAGAACATGGATCAGAACATGGATCAGAACATGGATCAGAACACGGATCAGAACATGGATCAGAACACGGATCAGAACATGGATCAGAACATATCGCAGCGTTGGCCCTTTAAAGGTCTAAACGCTCTTTGAATAATTAAAGCGGGGGATTGTTGTGGCCGTGGTCCTGCAGGGGACTGAGGATATTGGCTCTGGCTCTGGTCCTGCATTTTTACACCTACATGGTTTTTGCTTTGTCCCTTTAAATAAATAAATAATTACAAATACAATAATAAAGACGAGGATTAAAACAAAATGGACTTTCTGCAGGTTTTTACTTATTTTATTCTGTTCTGTTCACTTAAACCAGGACTAAACCAGGACTGAACCAGGTTTAGTCCTGGTTTAGACCTGGTTTAGTCTTGATTTTGACCTCAGTTTATTTAGTTCAATTTCAGGCCCTGGTTTAGTCCTGTTTTAGACCTGGTTAAGACCTGGTTTAAACCTGGTTTAATCCCAGATTTAGTCCTGATTTAGTCCTTGGTTCAGTCCTTGGTTCAGTCCTGTTTTAGTCCTGTTTTAGTCCTGCTTTACTCTTGATTTAGTCCTGTTTTATTTTTGTTTTAGTCCTGCTTTAGACCTGGTTTTGTCCTGGTTTAGTCCTGTTTTAGTCCTGGTTTAGTCCTGGTTTAGTCTTGGTTTAGTCCTGTGTTAGTCCTGGTTTAGTTCTGGTTAAGTCCTGGTTTAGTCCTGTGTTAGTCCTGGTTTAGTCCTGTTTTAGTCCTGGTTTAGTCTTGTTTTAGTCCTGCTTTAGCCCTGGTTTAGTCCTGTGTTAGTCCTGGTTTAGTCCTGGTTTAGCCCTGGTTTAGTCCTGTGTTAGTCCTGGTTTAGTCCTGTGTTAGTCTTGTTTTAGTCCTGCTTTAGTCCTGGTTTAGTCCTTAGTCCTGTTTAGTCCTGGTTTAGTCTTGTTTTAGTCCTGGTTTAGTCCTGTGTTTAGTCTTGTTTTTAGTCCTAGTTTAGTCCTTGGTTTAGTCTGGTTTAGTCCTGTGTTAGTCCTGGTTTAGCTTTAGCCCTGGTTTAGTCCTGGTTTTAGTCCTGGTTTAGTCTGTTTTAGTCCTGCTTTAGTCCTGGTTTAGCCCTGGTTTAGTCCTGGTTTGGCTTTAGTCCTGGTTTAGTCCTGTGTTAGTCCTGGTTAGTCCTGGTTTAGTCTCCGTTTAAACTCGTGTGTTTGATGTGTTGGTGT